TAAATACACATAAACTAGTAGGAAACTATAAAGAAAGTTCATTCAAGGGCTTCTAAGGCTTTTTCAGTGATTTATGGCAGAGTGACCACTAAGCAAGTGATAGAGTATTCAGAGCTTTCACATTCAGGGGAAATTTAAGATACAATTTGTCAATTCTACACAGTGTGCCACACAGAGGGAAAAAATAATGAACTAAAATTGTTTTAGAACACTTAAAATATGTTCCACTTATTAAAAAAATCATAGTGAAATAATATATCAAGCTACTACCTTGATTATCTAAAAACAGGATTCTTAACAAAACAGGCATAGCACATGATACTATGCTTATCTGTTTTTTAAAGACTGCTGTACTGTGGGTCAGCCCTGTAACCTAGTGGTTAGGTTCAGTGTGCTCCACTTTGGCAGCCTCAGCTTGGTTCCCAGGCACAGACCTACACCACTTGTTGGCAGCCATGCTGTGGCGGAGATCCAGGTACAAAATAGAGGAAGAATGGCACAGATGTTAGTTCAGGGCAAATCTTCCTCAAGCAAAAAGAGGAAGGTTGGCAACAGATGTTAGCTCAGGGTGAATCTTCCTTGGCAAAAACAAACAAACTGCTGGGGGCTGGCCCCGTGGCCGAGTGGTTAAGTTCGCGCGCTCCGCTGCAGGCGGCCCAGTGTTTCGTTGGTTCGAATCCTGGGCGTGGACATGGCACTGCTCATCAGACCACGCTGAGGCAGCATCCCACATGCCACAACTAGAAGGACCCACAACGAAGAATATACAACTATGTACCGGGAGGCTTTGGGGAGAACAAGGAAAAAATAAAATCTTTAAAAAAACAAAACAAACAAACAAAAAAACAAACTGCTGTACTATTAATACACATATAGAGGCTACTGACATAATATAAAGAATACTGGTCTGGCAGCTTTGATTCTAATTCTGCCACCAACAAGTTCTGTGATTTAGGCAAGCTGTTAATACCTCTAGGTCTCATTTTCCTCATCTAAAAAATGAGGAGTTTGGGGCCAGCCCTGGTGGCCTAGTGCTGAAGTTTGGCGCATTCCACTTCAGCAGCCTGGGTTCAGTTCCCGAGCATGGGCCTATACCACTCATCTGTCGGTGGCCATGCTGTGGCAGTGGCTCACATAAAAAGGGGAAGATTGGCAACAGATGTTGGCTCAAGGCAAATCTTCCTCAGCAAAAAAATAAAAATAAAAAATGAAGAGTTTGTACTAAATGATTTAAGATATCTTCTATTCCCAATATTTTATGAGCTGTAAAATTATTCCGTTTCAAGGAAAGACTCTTATAGCTCACTCGCTTATGCTTTTGAAATGTTCTTTACTTAGATATACATGCACATGACTCTCATCCTATATTATAGATAATATTTAAGAGAATTTAGATGTATTATGGTCCAAACTTAGATTATCACCAGTTCCAAGTAATTTCTGTTGTAGAATTTTTCCATTTTTAATTTGATAGTTCAAAATGAACTGTGTTGATATAGAAGGATACTTTTTAAAAATGAATAACCATTTATGGTAAACATATGTTTTAATGACTAATGTAATCATTCACATCCTTTCCTTGTTGGTATTTCTCAGAGTTCCACTCAAAGCTCTAGTCTTTTCACATCAGCCTATGCTATTCACTATAGTTTCAACTATCACATGAATGCTAGGTCTCCCAAATCTGCATTTCAGCTCAGATCTACCTCCTGAGGCCCATATCCATATATTCCTCTTCCATTTACATATCACCATCCGTTGTCATTATTTCAAATTTAATACACTGAACAAAGAACACATCACCCACTCCCCTGCCAAATCTGCTCCTCTTCTCTTCACTATCTCGGTGAACAAGAACAAAGTCTACTCAGGTGCCCAAGCCAGAAATCCAAAGCCAGCTTTGACTTGTCCTCTCTCACCCCTCACATCCTTAGTTAGCAAACCCTACTGAACTGAAGCATCACTATCTTCCATACCTCTTCAACACTCTTTATTCCCACTGCCATTACTTAAATCCTGATAATTTCTTAATTTCTTCCTGGATCCCTACAGTAGCTTTTTAAAAAATCAATTTTAAAATAACAAGTGTTGGCGAGGATATGGAGAAAACGGAACCCTTGTGCACTGCTGGTGTGAATGTAAATTGGCGCAGCCACTACAGAAAACAGTAGGAGTTTTCTCAAAAAATTAAAAACAGAACTACCATATGATCCTGCAAGTCTACTTCTGGGTATTTATGCGAAAGAAACAAAAATACTAACTTGAAAAGATTTCTACACCCCCATGTTCACTGCAGCATTATTTTCAACAGTCAAGACATGGAAACAACCTTAGTGGTCATTAATAGATGAATGGAAAAAGAAAATGTGGCATATATATACAGTGGAATATTATTCAGCCATAAAAAAGAAGGAATTCCCGCCATTTGTGACAACATGAATGGACCTTGAGGGCATTATGCTAAGTGAAATAAGTCAGACAGAGAAAGAGAAATACTGTATGATCTCACTTATATGTAGAATCTGAAAATACTGAACTCATAGAAATAAAGATCAGATTGGGGGTTGCCAGAGGCTGGGGGTAGGGAGCGGTTGAAATGGGAGAAGGTAGTCAAAAACAAACTTCCAATTATCAGATAAATAAGTACTGAGGATGTAATGTACAGCATGGTGACTACAGTTAACAATACTATATTGTATATTTGAACGCTGCTAAGAGAGTAGATCTTAAAAGTTCTCACCATAAGAAAAAAAAATTTGTAACTGCGTGGTGATGGTTTCACAATATATACGTATACATAAATCATGTTGTATACCTGAAACTAAAATGTTATATATCAATATCTCAATAAAAAATTTAAGTCAACTTATAATTTATATATAACAGATTATATATAATTTGAGGTATTATGCATAAATTGAGGTATAATTTACATACAATAAAACCCACAGATTTTAGGTGTATATTTCAATGGGTTTTGAGAAAGGTAAACACCCATGTACCCCCATCCCAATCAAGATATAGGACATTTACATCATCCCAGAAAGTTCCCAGAGCCCCTCTGTACTCAAGTCCAGCACCTGCACCCCTCCCTCACCCCAGGTAACCATCAGTCTAATTTCTGTTATTACAGACTTCACTTTGCCTGTTCCAGAGTCATATAAACGGAATCAGGCAATATGTACTTTTTTGTGTCTGGCTTCTTTTGCTCAGCATAATGTCTGTGAGATTCATCCGTGCTGTTGTGTGTATCAGCAATCTGTTTATTCTTATTGTTGAGCAGTATTCTAGTGCTTATTCACTGTGACGTTTGCTCGTTTAGCCACTGCAACTGCTTTTTAACTGGTCTAGCTGCCACCAACACAGACTTTGATCCATTTTCATACTGCTTCTGGAGTCATCTTTCTAAAACGCAAATCTGATTATGTCATTCGTTTCTTTCAGTGACTCCTAAGTGCCTACAGAAGAAAGGATAAGCTCCTAATTAAGACATTCACAAACCTTCCATGCCTTAGTCCATGATGCCCTCTCAAAACAGACATGAACATAGTTACTTCGACCCCCAATGCCATTTCTCTGTTTAGAGTTTTTACACATGAATACATTCAAATTGAGGAGAAAAGTGAATGTTTGCCATTTCTGGAACTAAGTTTAGATCCAGGGTATTATATCACCTGAAGGCCCTAGATGACTTCAAATTAACCCCATACATTTAGAAACTGACACAGTAAATACTAAAGTGTATTTCACAGGTATCATGTGTTCAGTTGCAATGTATCACCTTGTCCTCATGTAATACTACACCTAATTATCATAGAGACTAATTAAGACATAAAGGCATAATCTTTTATGCATAAGCTACAATCACACTAAAGATGAAATTCTATATCCTGCTTTTGTACTTATTTCAAGAGCACTGTTACATTCTATTCATAAATGTTACTTCTAATGGCTAAAAAGTTCTTTAAAAGAAGCATACATCTAATAAGTGTAACAAAGTTAAACTTTCCACCTACAGCTGGGCATTTAGGTTGTCTTTTAATTTTTGTGCTAAATTTAAGTAATGCCACAATAAACACTTTCATGAACAAAGCATACTTCACATTTTACATAATTTCTTTGGCACAGAATCCCACAAGGGAAATTACTGCATTCACAAAGTATGAACAATTTATGGTTTTAATATATTTATAAAATATTATCAAATAATACATGAAAATAGTTTTAATACCCTGGCCACTCTCACCTCCCCTAAGCCTTGTTTCTCAGAGACAATCTTTTTGATTATTCATTTGTTTTAGTTTCGATCATTGTAATACTCTTTCTCTGTTTATCAACCATAGATATTATTTTTTACTTCCTTTTATGATAAATTAGAATTTAGCTCAATTACACCACTTTTTACCTCCTCTGTTAAATTATGGGGAAGTTAACTTTGTAATGTCAAATAATACACAAACATATTTCTTTCTCTCTCAACTTTTAATAGCATGTCTGGATAGTAGTAGCCTTGGTCTTCTCTAACTTCTAATAGCTATGCACTTACTTTTACATTGTTACAATTAATAACATTTACAATTTACTTCGAAACCATAAAAACGTTGTCCATGCTAGTCATTTTTGAAACTTGAAAATTAAGAATATTTACATTATGATTATATAAATATTGTTAACTGAAGAAACAAGTATTAAGTTATGATTATGCTTCCTTCTACCAGGGACCAATATCATGACCACTAAGCCACTCAAAGGAAAATATTCATACATCAAGGCCAATGGATTCTCTTACAACTCTGATTCCAGCCTTTGTAAAATAATAACCACCACACCAGGTGAAGTCCTAAAATTTAGAATTTCCTCAAACCACGGCAAGTTTGAACTTGCCACTAATACCAAAGTTCAATGCCAGGCTTCTAAATTTAAGACTATTATTTCGCATCTGAGTCCAAAAACTTTTATCATCTATAAAGGGTGCGGTCTAAGCCACACAGCATTCCTACCTGCCAGAGCATCCCGATAAAGCTGCACAAAATGATTAAAGATATCCTTTGGCAAACACTTTTCATCTGGCAGACACTGGAGAAGAATGACTATCTCAGACTGACCCACCGCATGCATTCCCTTGGTTGTGAAACACCAGCACTTCCTGTTCACATCTAAAGATGGAATAAAAATAGAAAAATAAAGACATTCCTCTCAATCTTTACCCTTAAAAAAAGGCACAGAAATCTATGTTACAATACAACAAAGAATAAAACAGATCATACTGAGTCTGAATAATTCAACTGTGAACTGTCACTGCATTGAGCCAAAGAACTATTGTAGAAAATAAAACATACCAATGCCTCTGATTCTAAGGAAACACTTAGAAAAACAATTGGAAGGGAAGTAAAAGAAGTAATAGTGAAAGAAAATTAAAACTTTTAACTCTATTATTAAAGGGAGTAATTATTAAAAGAAACAACATTTCCTTAAAGTAAAACTAAACTATGTATCCTAGGCTATAACGATTAAGATGTATTCTCCCAGCTTTATTTAAAAAAAAAAATCACTTTACCAAGGGAAATAATTACTTATGTAAGACTAGAAAAAACAATACAAGCCAATATTATACCTTTGGATTCAGGTTGTGGCCTGAAGAATATATTTTTGTACGTACACATTAAATTTAATCTGTGACTGAAAGATTCTAGCTATTTCAGTTACTACAGTCCTTTCTGAGAGAAAATTCTAGATAATCAGCAGCATAACTTTACTTGGTTTCACGCTGTAACAAGTGGTGAAAAAGATGGCTTATCTGGACTAGTCATTTCTACTTATTTACTTTAAGGTAATGTAGAGTCCCAATCGCACAAGCCATATGTAGTTAAAAATAATGTTCAATCTTTGGCACTTTTATCATTTGTACTCCAATACAATGGGATCCCCAAAGGAGTCAAAAAGGACTCAATTAAAATTATGGATACTAAGATGTAAATCAAAATTAATAAAAGAACCCTTTTTTCATTTTGGGGATTGTTACTATACACCTAAACAGGAGGTGCTCAATTTAACTGTATTAAGATGGTGTACACTTCAGGAATTCTAGGTTACCTGTTTTCTAAGTATGACTTATGAACTAGATATGGTAAATTGAAATTTCAAGCAAATTATTTTAAAATCTGATCCTAGAAGGAAAGGTGGCAAGCATTAACAACTGGCCAAATATACACAGGCGTGATTAGCAAGTAAACCAGAAACCTGCATTTCATTTATGTAGAACCTCTAAGGAAGTAAGGAAGTAGTATAAGGTCAAGTGAAAACAAGTACATAGTGGGAACCAGAAGACTGTTCCCCGGAGCTTCTGTCCTGTCTCTAAAACTCTGCTTATTAACACTCATCCAGAAAAAATGCATTCGCTATTTTCCAATACGTTTGGAATCAAGATTCTAAGTTAACTGTCCTCTCTCTTATTCTGATGCCCAAGACGCTAGCATCAAGAGTTGAGAAGTTCTTCTGAATCTTAACTGACGACGTATTGAAGTTTTACTGTATGTTACTTTATTAACACTTCTCCCAAATATGGCTTTATACCATGATTAAGCTTTCTGAGATTTAAACCAGGCATGTAAATTGTTTGACCCTTCTGGATAATTTATCCACCTCCAGTCATTCTGGTGGTGAGTTGTGACTTAGCATACCCATCTCAGGAAGAACTTAACTTAGATCAGTTCAAGTTTTGTTTGGCTTTCCTCCATGGAGAATTCATCTATCTCACTCCTATGAGTAAAAGCAAGAGTTTCAGCTAGTCCCACAGTTGTCCTCTGGGATATATAATTTTATACAAAACAACTTCTTTAGTATCCAAGTTTTCAGTAAGATGTGGTTCTAAATAAAAATACTTGTGTATAATGAATTTGAAAGTTTTATTTACTATCTATGAGCCAGTAAAGTATCTCATTTTAATATCAAAAAACCAAATTTCTAACTTACAATTTACAATTTTAACCATTGACAACAAATTTGCATTTAAAACAAATACAAGTGGGTCAGGGCCACCATCCTCCAACTGCTGCATTACTGAAATCTGTGATGGTTTCTCTTCCACAGCATAGTCTGTAAGGGGAGAAAATAATGTAAGAGATTTGTTAAAAGGACAAATCAAGGAAAAAAATCTGATGAAGGAATGGGCTGATTATTCACAGGAAAGAGACAAGCATTTGATTTATAGAGAGGGTGAACATAGGTTTGTTTGTACCTGCTGTCTCAGTATCATGTTAATAGTGCCCCTTTCACTCTCCAAAGTAACCCAGTCCAGTTTGGATAAAATAGTTATCCTATGTATAGACTTCTCCACAAAATGGTTTGTGCCATAATCTAAAGACAGACCTTCTAGTTAACAAAAATTCTCCAATTATCCTAAAAAGAATTTCACATATTACATGTTCTAAGACCAACATTTAAATAATCTATGATACACAAGAAAGCGATAATATACCAGTTACCTCTGGAAATGTTATCTACGGGTTGAGGTAGAGGGGAATCCTACTTTTTACTCTAAACCCTTTTGTACAGTTTGAGATTTTTTAAAAATTACTTTAAGGGGCGGGCCCGGTGGCACAGTGGTTAAGTTTGTGCAATCCACTTTGGCGGCCTGGGGTTCGTCAGTTCAGATACTGGGCACGGACCTACCCATTGCTTATCAAGCCATGCTGTGGCAGGCATCCCACATATAAAGTAGAGGAAGATGGGCACAGATGTTAGCTCAGGGCCAATCTTCCTCAGCAAAAAGGGAAGGATTGACAGCAGATGTTAGCTCAGGGCTAATCTTCCTCAAAACAAACAAACAAACAAACAAAAACAATTACTTTAAGAAATGCACCCAGAAAATAAACTAAAAGTATCATAAGTGACTGCTTTTATGAGACAATTCCTCTAAGTACAAGGGAAGAGTTCTGTACACACACATATCACCAAAATCACCAGTAAATCACACATTTCTGAACAGGGACAAGCTAATACTTGAGACTCTGAACAGAACCCTTCCCATTTAATCCCTGCAAGCACAGTATGTAAGATTCAGCCATCCCATTTCGAACGATGGTAGTCCTCTCAGTCAAAATCATGGGTATTAACCGCTGTCGAATCTAAAGCTATTGGAAAGAAACTGAAAACCTGACAGCCGAATGTTGTTTGCTTGGTCTTCTATAAACTGAATCATTAAGGGACAGCCAGGCAGAACAAAATAACATCATTTCCGACTTACCAATGGAAAACAAAAACTGTTTTTTTGGGGTGTAATGGGAAATGATGAAAATATTTATTGGACAGAGAAATACTAAGTGACTTTAGGAAAAAACGAAAAACTTTTTATGAAGTTCCTCCACTGGAACACAAAATTGCAAAATTCTGATGAAGAGATAGTAATATGGTTTAACTAAGCAAACATAGATAACTAGTTATTGTTTCTTGGTAGGAGAGGTTTTGACAATTAGATTTAATGGATGTGACATTTAATGAAAATGGAACCTGCAATCTTATTTTAACAATAGAGGAGGCCACTTTAATTTCTTATTAATCTAAGATTTATTAAAATAACAAAAAGTTGAAACCTAAGTAGCAATTTTACTAACAAAAGAATATTTTTAGGGAGTCCTGGTAAAGACACAAAGACATTACATAATCAAAAGCCTGCTTAACTTTATGTGAAAGATTATCATTGTGCTGTCTGGGATGCAGCTGGATTTCATGTATGATAGATTCAGCCAACGTTGCTGAGAGCCTGCTACTGGCCCAGCACCACGCTAGCAGCAGAAGACATAAACATGAACTAAGATTGAAGGAATGCATGGTCTAAGTGAGAGAATCAGACCTACACAACATCTGAACTACAATGAGAGAAGTATTAATGCAGTAACAATCTATAAGAATTTCTATTAGGACAAAGATAAGAAAGCAGAACACGAGTACTGAGGCAGCCTAGGTAAGGATTCAGAGAAAATCCATTAGTCTGGATGTTGAAAGGTTGAGTTCTTCAAGGAGTCTAGAGTATAGAAGGGTATCCTAGGCAGAGAAAAGGAAGAAAAGGAAAATATTAATTACATGCCTACTTTGTTCCAGACTCCTTTCTTGCTATGTACCTTCAGGTATGAAATCTGATTTAATATTCACAATGACACTAAGTAGGTCTAGTCACCTACCTTTTAAAAAACAAAAACACTAGAAAAAAGATTCAGAAAGGATAAATGACTTGCCCACTGGATCATACAGCTAGAATGGAATAGTACTGGTATTAAAACTCAGGTTTGTCCAGCACTCAAGTCCATTCTCTTCCCCCATAAGAAATTCCACAGCATAACAAAAAAGCATGGAAGTGTGAAAAGTGAATATTCATAAAACAGTAAATAACCTGTAGTACGTGTGTAAGGTACTGGGGTATTGGCTGGAAATAAAGTCAGAAAGGTAAGTTGAGATAAGATTATAAGGAACACCGTATGCTAAGTAATTTATACTAACGGTATTGGGACTCCATTGAATGTTTCTAAGCAAGTGTAATATATGAAAATACCTATATTTGAAAGATAATTGGCAACAACGTGTAAGGTAACATAAAGGAGAGAAAGACTGAAGGCAAGGAGACCAGGTAAAAGGCTAGGATAAAACCGAGGAGAGATTATTGGTAAACTATCTCCTAAAGATGTGCTGACTAGATGCTGATCTGGATACATCAGCAACAAACTTTCACATAAAGTTAAATATTCTTTTGATTGGATAGTAATTTTTCTTACCAGGACTCCCTAAAAATATTTTTTAACAGTAAAATCGCTATTTAAGTTCAGTGCTCTCCACTTATTATATGTACATTTCTGAATGTATATTATACTTCAAAACAAAAAGTTTATTAATGTACTGACATATCAAGTGGGCCAATCCTAGAACCATAAGTAACTCTTCAGAGTATTATGTGCTTTAAAATACAAAGGAAAAACTGCCAATGAAAATATACTGTATTGTAAACATATCACAATTAAAACTTCTATGTCCTTCCAATGAATGAAATGACATAATATAAAAACATAAACCTCTACTCTAAATCAATCAATAACAGCAACAATTGTTTTCACGGCACTGAAGAGTTGCTTTTTTGTTGGAGAAGGATGGTCATCACTCAAGTTCTATCTCCTCTTAATTAGAAGGCAACAACTGAGTATGTAATTATCCCTGTTTAAACACACACGTCCACATACCTCCTTTTACACCAGTGGAGATGAGAATGGGAGGGAGGCCATCTTCAGGAATAAGGTTCATTGCACTTCCAACAGGACTTCCAACCTGAGTTATATTCCCAGAGAACAGAGAAATATCCGTCTAGGAAAAGCAAATCAGTTAAGTGAACATCACAGAGAGTTCAAGACTTTGGCAGAATATAGTCAAGAATATAGGAATTTAAGTGAAAATTTGGAATTCATACTTTTTGAAAGATAGCACAAGATACTCATTAACCTGTGGTTTCCCAAAGGACTCGGCTTAACTATTAAAAATCTTTCTAATTCTACAGTTTCTCCTTCTGGCATCATCACATCATGATAGAGAGAAAAGGCCTTGCAGCGGGGTGAAAGCCTCCTTTACCTAGGTTTCTTTTGCCATATAAGAAAAATATTTTTAAAAACTGCAGTGGCAACAGAAACAAAATTTCAATATTATCTCGTAATTTCTGAACTTTTAATGCATTTGGGTCTACTTAAAATCTCATTTATATTGCTTTTGCAAATTAACATCAAGGATAGTGGTGATGGTTGTACAATAATGTGAATGTACTTAATGCCACTGGATTGTGCACTAAAAATGGCTAAAATGGTAAATTTTATGTCATATATATTTTACAATAAAAAGAAAAAAATTAACTTTGAGAAAGAAATCAAAATAGACAATTTTCCATTTATTATGCAATGAAATAAAATTTCAAATTCATTTTTCTTTGCATTAATATGCATATCACGTTAGCTATACTTAATAAAGTATAATGTTGCAAAACACATTTTGGGTAGGGTTAAGTCCACTTAATTAACAATTTAATAGAATACGCTCAAAGATTAAAATGATGCTCTCTTCTCTACATTCTCCATAACTTAAGAAAAACAAGCTTTAAAAAAGTTAAAAGAAAAGCATTTAAAAACTGGTTTTTGATACACATAAGACTGTTCACAGCAGTCTTATTCATAACAGCCAAAGACTGGAAACAATCCAAATGTCCATTAACAGGAAAATAGATAAATTGTGGTAAATTCACATAATGGAATACTACTCAGCAATAAGAAATATTAATTTTTTGATGCACACAACATGGATAAATATTAGTTTGAGTTTAAGAAGCTAGGGACAAAACATTATATACTATATGCTTCCATTTATATGAAACACAAAAACAGACAAAATTAAGCCATGGTGATACAAGTCAGAATGATGGTTACCCTGGGGAAAGAAGCGCAGGTATTGACGGAAAAAGGGCATGAGGGAGCCCTGCGGAGTAATGGAAATGCTCTGTATCTTCACCTAAGTGGTGGCTATATGGTTGCATGTGTGCGTGCGCCTGTATTCACCAAGTTGTTTCCTAAAGATTAATGCTCTTCAAGTACTTTGCTATATATATTTTATTCTTGAATAAAGATTAAAACTATTTTAAAAAAATGCCCATGTCTTGCCATACTTTTGTCTATACTACCTATAAATTAAGACTATAAGCTTTTAGTAGGTATTTGCTAAAATTTTGCAATGTTCCCAGTAGCTCATCATATAAGAAGAAATTTGGAAAATTTTATTAGCAAACCATTATAAACTGATTCGAAGTTCCAGTATAGGAAATAAAGTAATCTATTCTTTCTAACTTGCTACTTAGTGACACATAAATCCACCTTATAATATCATGAGAAGTGGTCATTTGGCCTCTATTTAAACACCATCTGTGAAAATGAATTTATTTCATTTACTGGGCACTTATTAAGTGCCAGGCCATAAAGATGAAAAAAACATATTCCAGTCTGGCCTTAAAGAATTTGTTTTCCCTCATTTTACCAAATAAATATTAAAATAGTATGTGTGTAAGGTTCAACAATGTGAGAGCACAGAAATAAAATAACTAACTTGGTTTAGTTTCTCCTAACTGAGCTGAATCTTGTTTCCCTATAATATGCATTCACTAGAGCTTTCTCATTCATTCGAAAATATCTGTTTTGGGGCCGGCCCAGTGGCATAGCAGTTAAGTTTGCGTGTTCTGCTTCAGCGGCCTGGGTTTCGCAGGTTCGGATCCTGGGCGTGGACCTACACACCGCTTATTAAGCCATACTGTGGCAGAATCCCACATATAAAGTGGAGGAAGATGGGCACAGATGTTAGCTCAGGGCCAATCTTCCTCAGCAAAAAGAGGAGGATTGGTGGCACATGTTAGCTCAGGGCTAATCTTCCTTAAAAAATAAATTATGTTTTAAGAACCTATCATACAATCTAAGAAATGTAAAAGACATGTAAGAGAAACAAAAAATCATCACTGTATAAATACCATAATTATAACTGATTCAGGCAAGAATTGTCAAAGGGCAGGAAAATTATTGACTGAAAGACTGTTGAGGAACAGGACACTCACAGCCTCAAAGTATCACCCCTCATCTTACTTATTAATTGCAAAGAGGAAAAGCTACTTTTGAAGTGGAGAAATACAGGAGACATCAACCTAACCAATTATCAAACTGATATTGCTTGATGTGTTCCACTAAGAAATGACCATCACTTATGTAGTATTATTATTCTTGCCCAAATCTAATCACGAGGAAAAAATCAGACAAATACAAATTAAGGATATTATGTAAAACATGACGAATATGCATCAAAATATTAATGAAATGAAAGACCAAAAAAATGAAAAATGAGAGAATGGTTCTAAATTAAAGAAATCCAAAGAAACATGATAACTCAATATAATTGTAACCCTGATGGGATCCTGATGTTAAAAAATATATTTTATTTAATAAAAAAATGTATATATATGCACATATGTGTACAAAAAAGCTATAAAGAACATTATTGGGACAATTGGGGAAACCTGAAAATAGACTATATATTAGATAATAGAATTATATGTTAAATTTCTTTCTCATTTGATAACTGTACTGTGCTTGGGTAAGAAAATGATTTGTTCTTAGGAGATACAAGCTCAAGTATTAAGTGATAAAGTGCAACTAATCCTCAAATGGTTCATTAAAAAAAAAAAAGCATGTCTGTGAATGTGCACATGTGTTTAGGGGTAAAGCAAACGTGGCAAACACTAATGCCTGGTGAATATAGGTGAAGAGTATGTGGGTGTTCACTGGACTATTCTTGCAACTTTTCTGTGGGTTTGAAATTTTTCCAGATAAACAGCTGGGGGAAAAAAGAAACCTTCTTGACTTAGTAATTGTGCAGATACAAAGACTAAGACATAGTTCTGGCTCTCATCCTCTGCAGCCACAGAAAAGTCCCCAAAAGACCTGGAAATATCTGAAGACAGCTATGGTATGGTTTAATGTTCCTTCACCAAACATGAAATTTAGCTCTGTACAGCAATAACCCTAATCTTAACATCAAGCAATTTCAATTACAACCAAATCCATAAACTACGTAAATTTCTGAAAAAATATTACCGAACATAAACATAAATAAATAGCAACTAACAATTCTATGAAGACTTCAAGAGTAAAAACTTTATCCAAACTTTGATCTCATTTTATTAAAAAAAAAAAAAGGAAGCATATAGTTAGAATTAACAGCCTTATTATAACCTTGACCACCACATTCAAGAGGGCAATCAGCGACAGAAAGGGACCTACTGAAAAAAAAGGATCTCTAATTTTGGTCCTACGTGGCTGTTCTCTCACTGTCTCCAAAAAAAGTAGTTGGTATTTGTCCCCTTCTGAAAACTAGGGCCCAAGAGAATCCCATTAACCCCAAAACCATGACCAGCACATCCTATAGAGACAAGGTAGAGGTGCCAGCACAGTATGTGCTAGTTTCCTTAGGAAAATTATATAAATCTTCCATTCAATAAGTCAGTGATTTTCAACTTATTTTTAAGCTTTGGAATCCTTTTAAAAAAATCTTAAATGGAAACATAATTGGTAGAACAGAAAAAAGTAGACATGCTCAGGTTGAAGAGAAAGGAACAGAGGGATTCCTCAGCTGCCTCCATATTGCCTGGCCTTTCCTCACCACTGCACTCCCGAGAGGCCACTACAGAACCTGGGGAACATGGTTTGAAACCAATGTATCTGGGGCCAGGATTCCTTCTAACACCTCTAGCTACCGAAGTAGCCTGAGCTCACCTGAGAAGCTTCATAAGAATCTTTCTCCTGAACAAACCTGCAACTATAGAGCAGAAAAGGACAGATTTTGCCACAGTTACTTTAACCCTACAGACAAACACAGGCACACACATATATGCACACATACACTAAACTGTATCCGAAACCTATAGGGTTCCACAGAAAAGTCACTCAGCTTAGAAAAAAAGACAGAGGCAGCACAATGCTGAGTAAGGCGGGTACTCATTTTTACTTGCTGTTTTGTTTTCTTACCTCTGCTGGTAGAGGACTGGTAGCTGCTGGCTTGACTGGGTCATGTGACACAGCCAGGGTTCCTGCAGAGGAAGTTCCATTCATTGTTAATTTGGCTGCATCAGCAACTTCTCCATTAGGTAAGATCCCATCAGCAAACCAAACTCGCCTCTGCTCTCTGGGCTGAGCCACTTGAGGAGCCAGAAAAATAAAACAGGAATCAATGTGACATTGGTAGAGTTTCTAACATCAAAGAAGAGAAGGTCACCAATTCCAGATGTGCAAAGAAGTCAATATTTAGCATCTTATAATTACAAATATCAGAACTGTAACTGTGTATATAAGTGGTTATAAATTAATAAAAACACACATTTAAATATATTCTTTACTTCTATAACTTGTATGTAAAGATTTAAAACATTTTGCTTTAAAATACTGAGTTCTTAAATATATCTGTGATTATGCCGCACACTCTGTCCCATATCATTGACAGAGAAACTAAGGAAGGTGTTTTAAGTACCTATGAAATTTAATAGCAGGGAAAAATACCTAGCAATAGACATCCACATCTCCTAAATGTAGGAGGTTTCTACAGGAATTAAATATCTAGAAAAATGATAGGGTATTTTTAAAGGGCAGAGATGCCCTGAAGAATGTTGAAGAATTATTAATTAATAAAGGAAGAGTTGGCACAGATACGTAAGAATTGGGAAGCAAACTGACCAGATCTTTGGCTAAAGTGTAACTGAAGAAGAAAGACTGATCTGGCAGTGCAAAAGTAGTTTGCATTTTAGTAAAAGGACAGGGGAAAAGCTGGGAAACTGAATCTGATGAAATGATCTCTTTAAATCCGGTTTTGGAAATCAATTCAAACAGCCAAAACAAAGAGAGACTAGGGGAAGAATAACAAAAACGACAAATGAAGTAAAGAGAATAAAGATTTTGAGAAAGAAAGCCTGAACTCATAAAAATACAAGGAGTATGACTAAGGGATGATCTGAAAAGAGGGAAAATGGGGAAGAGTATGATAATGTCAATAGAAGTCTTTGCTCTTCAAAAGGGGAGGAGCGCTATTTAGCAAGGGGAAGGCAATATTACTAGACAAAAAGACAAAGTTAATGAAAGAAGATTGATTTAAATAATCAAGGGAAACTTCTTCACAAGATCATTTTAAGGAAACATATAATTGTTATTTTTACTATTCATAATCCCCTGAACTTACAAAGTGCCTTTGATCTAACAATATCATAATCATAAAGACATAATAAACTAAAATAAATTGAGCCTATAATTTTCTACCTATCATATGATATAACCAGAATTAAAGTTCTGGATTTTATGAAGGTCTATGTACCTAACACAATATTTTCATATTCTTATAGGGATAGATTCAAAATGAAAAGAGAAAATGGCAATGTATACTCTAAAAAGTAATACTAGAATGGACTGGTCAGAAGGAAGAATTCTCATTTTTATCACTTACTAAACTTCTACAAAGAGCATTATAGTAAGATGAGGCTAGGATTTTACAGGCTGACTTCAAATTCTGTATCTCTTTTCAAGTATCAGCAGTATAATTACTCCATTCTTAAGTTGGAGAGGGTATTGGGATATTTTTAGAGGTGCCTCCAAAATATCAGGCAACACAATATTATTCTTTACTTGCCCAGAAATAGTCTCGACACATTTCTCACCTTGTTCTTCCACTTTAATAACCACCCAAAGGGACTTATCTGCACTGTTATAAAGACTTGTGCCGTAAAATCACATCAGCACCTTTTTAGAGGAACTTGGTGAGGAAAAAGAGAGAGAATAGCACATGATCCCCTACCTTCTGCTCCAGGGTGCTTTAAAACTCCCACAGGTACCATCACAGTGGGAGGTGGAGAGCTCAGGGCTCCTGAGGCCTGAGCCTGCTGCAAGGGAGGGATAGTAGAACAGTATTCAGCAGGATTGTTAGGGTTAGGGCTCTGGCTTGAGGCACTCATCATGTTCTCCCAGGCTTGAGCTAAAGCAAATACAGACACAATCAATGTGAATGGATTGCAAAATATGGACATCAAGACCTCCACAATATTGGATAAATAATGTAGCTCCTCCTCAGTAACACTCATAGTATGTCTCTCTTCCAGCTAGTGAAGACAGTAAGGAGATATGTGATTTTATCCAATAAAGGAGACTATTTAGTTAAGTAAACTATCTGGATGCAACAAATAAGAATTACATGATAATTCTGATACAGACTGATCGATCAGTCTGAGGTTAATGACTTGGTCCCTGACTTCTTTAAAGGAGACCATACATTCCCTTAAGAGGGACCGAAACAACATCAAACTTATTAAGGATTTGCAACAGGGATAGCATTTAGACATTCGGCAGGGGAGGGGGTAGGGTATGTTTAATATTCAATGCACTTTATAAAGTTCTATAAAGAATCAAAATCGAGGGCTAAGATAGCATAACCCCATTGTATGATATTTTGTTTCATTTCTAGACTTTTAGGCTCTTCTTAGTTCAGGTAAAATATCATTTAAAAAATTCTGAAGCCTAAAGCTCAGGAGAACACATCTCAACATTTTTGTGAATTCTGATTTTGTACAATCATAAACCTGTGTAAAAATATCCAACAAAAACAACCATTTCACATCTTTGGTGTGTCTCAAAAGCACAGGACCCATTTGAACATGAAAATGTGCCACTATCACATAAGTGCCATCAATCAATATGAATGATCACAAGTGTGTTAAGAATCTGTATACTCTATAATTTTACTAACTAAATACTAACATATTAACTATTGTCTTTAAAAGCAAATAGGATGAAAAATACTACAGAAACGAAAGATAGCAAATTTTATCTTCTAGATTCAGGTAATATCACATGCCCAGGAATAGAAACCACTCAATTTTTTAAGCATCTTTCTCATTCAACATCAAAGAACAATCCATAAGATTTTGAATATTTATTGCCTCAAAACTGCAAGGCAAGGCTAGAAACAAAAACTATGTTCTGTTTGAAAGCTCTGGCAGGAAGAGGGGAGGAAGAGAACAGGAGAAAGGAAAAGGGGATAGGTAACACTGAAAAGCATCAACTTAAATAGTCAGTAAAAGATCAGGCTAAGCCATGCGAGAGGAAAGACGCTGGAAAGACCAGGAAAAGTAGATTATTTCAGGATCCCCTGTTTAGGGCATCCTTGGTTTAATAAAAAGTAAGTATTCCATATGAATCCTCTGCCATTTCCTTCATCTTCAGCTATGCCAAGTTAGGAAAAAAAAAAAAGCTATCAAGTTGGAAGACCTCATCAAATAAAAGAGGTATTAGGTACTGTAACTAAGCAGCACGCTCTTATCTGTGCACATATGTCTTAAAATGAACGCAGGAATAAAAATCATCAATTGAGCAAGAGTGAAATAACCACCATCTAAAAAATGACCCTTAAGAGTAGAGAGAATGATTCATATTTGATCAAAATTATAAGAATTCAGAAATGGGAGGAAACTGAATAGATCAAAGGAGATTAGAACAGATCAGATTAACTGACATGCAATAGGTTAATAAGCCAGCAACAGGAAAACATCACTATGAGCAATGCAGACAGACAGAGCAGGAGGGGCCTCGAGCAGAAGTTCCAGCCTCCAGGAGGCACACTATTCCAGCACAGGCAGCAGTGGCATCCAAGTTTAACACTTTACTCCTATCAGTAATTGTTTTGACAACTGTACAAAGATGCCCTCAAAGAGAAAATACTATAGCCTGATCAATTTTTATTGTATCTCTTTACAAGAATACTCTGAGTTTTTCTCCTTATTTTTTTAACTAAAATGATCTTGGATTCATTTCCAGTCCCGCGAAAGATGAACACTACATAAGGTGTAATTACCTTCTCATGGCCATCTTCTTTTACCGTGTAACTAAACTCAAAGCCATTATCATTATAAGAAATCTAAGTAGTATTAAGAAGATAACTGAGAGAAAAACACAATTTTCTATGTGATCCTAGATGCTAAAATATTTATTTTTAACAAGATGAACAGCATAAGGTGTTAAGAATATTTTCTAAGTTATTAAGGTATTCCCTAGATGGAGATAACTTCCCTTGAAAGGAAAACCTCAGTCCAATTTTAATATTTCATCATTTAAGCAGTCAAAAGCCCCCCACTCCTACTCCCATCCCATTCCGGTCATTTCACAGGAATATTAACAGCCACCTATCACCTGATTTCCACAAGAACTTCCTGCAAAACTTACCTGACTTCAGCATTCGTTCATTAAATTATGCATAGGAATTCTGAGATGCTAAGATATTTTCAAAACGTGGAACTTTAGTTCAACATTTTCAGTTGAAGTTACGACATTTGAGAAGGTGAGCAACTTGTAGAGAGAGGCAGGAAAAAATAGTAGCCTTTTCAGAGGAATTCTCTTGTTCTGTCTCAATAATTGTGAATTCAACCTGTTTTAATACTTACCATTCATTAGCACTGAATGGCAGATTACGCATACTCTAGCTTCCTTTCTGTCCATATACAACAGTTTACATTTCAGGCTACAGCAGGAAGCACAAAAAACCTGCAGGAAAAAGAACATACTAAATTTACTTAGGATCACAGCATAAAGGGAGTAAATCAATACTGACCAACTGACAGGGAACCTTATTACTACAACATAAAAACTTCAAAGGAAAATGTAATTGAGGAAGCTGGGCACAAGACCCAATTCAAAAGTAAGAGTGAGATTACATGTCTGTAAGCAATAAGGAAAGTGAAAGCGTTGGCTGAAAATAAAAATCTTAGCCAAGATCATACAGCAAATACACAGGAGAGAAAAAAATGTGAGCTGCCCTTAGGCAAAATTCCTATACACAATATCATATAACATGGGCATTTAAAGACAGTTATAGCCACTATTTCTGACTGGGGACTCTGGTTTTTAACTTCTTTTTTTTACTATCCTTATGTATGGGATAATGATCATACCAGCTGTTTTCACTGGTTTGCTATGAAGGCCAGGAAAGATCAAAACATACAACTTGATAAAAAAAGCACAGCCCCAGCTACAGAAAATCAGAGCAGGCAACCAAAATTGTTCATGCCAATTTCTAGCACCTTATTTCCACCTTCCAAAGAGAGTTCCTGATAATCTTACTTTCTTCTCCCTTCCACATCAAGCAACAAGAATCTCCTCAGCTCCCTGTTGATTTCTTTCTTTTTTCTTTTTTAAAGATTGGCCCTGAGCCAACATCTGTTGCCAATTTTCCTTTTTTTCCCCCTTCTCTTCTAAATCCCCCAGCACATGGCTGTATATTCCAGTTGTAGGTCTTTCTGGTTCTGATACGTGGGACGCTGCCTCAGCATGGCCTGATGAGTGGTGCTAGGTCCGCACCCAGGATCTGAACAGGCAAACCCTGGGCCACCGACGTGGAGCATGCAAACTTAACCACTTGGCCACGGGGCCGGCTCCAAGATTTACTTTCTTGAGAACTCATTAGTCACTTATCTCAGAGAGCTTCATACAGGCAGAAAGTGGTTCCCATAAGGGAAAATTCTACTAATCCAGTTTTTATGACCAAGAAGTATCCTATAACTTACAAAGATGAGGGCACATTAAAGACAAAATGAGAGAGATCATCTCCTCTCCTACTAAGTATAATTAATACACCTAGCTACCATGATTACTAATTTACAGTTTTCAGAGGCTTTACATTCTCAAAATAACTCTGTGATGTAGGGAGGACAGGGATATATTCTCCTTATGTTCTATCAGAAGAAACTGAGTTGGGATGGTTAAATGACTTGCTCAAGTTCACAGCAAACTGTGTAAATACCAGGCACTTTACATGTATTATCTCATTTAACTTCAAAAATTCTATCAAGACACTCATTTATAATTAACAGAGTTAAATAAACAGATGTTAAATAAAATTGCTTAGTTGTACAGCTAGTAAGTTATATAAGTTGTCTCCAAAGACTGTTCTTAACCACTACATAATACTGCCTCATACTAATGCATATATTTCACTTTAATTCAGACTTGACTGTTCCTTCTCTCTCACCATGACCACATCCAGTCAGTCACTATGTCTTGATAGTTCTCTCTCTTAAAGGGTTCTCCCCAAATCCCATCTCTTCCTCTCCATAACTACTGCTGCTTCCTTTATTCAGGCCTTTATTATTTGAGGCCTAGAAGATCATCATAATCAATTACCTGTCCTCCCAGTCTTCAGATGTGTCTTTCCAATTCATCTTTCACATAAATACTAAATGACTGAACTTTCTAAAAATAAATTTAATCATGTTAATCTTCTTGAAATCCTTCAACAACATTTGTAATCAAGAGGTAAAACTAAGAAGCCATCCTTAACTCATTTATTCCAGAAATATTTGAGTCCCTACTATGTGCTGGGCACCAGGCTATCTGACTGTGTGTGGCAGTGAAAAAAATGGACGTGGCCCTTGCCTTCGTGGAATTTACATCTACAGAGGTTATAATCTAAAATCAAATAATCACACGAGTGAACGTAAAATTACTTGCTTCAAAAGAAGTACATGGTAAAATAAGATCATGTGATCTAGGCTTTACCTAGATTGGCAGGGTCAGGGAAGGTTTAATTTAGGAAACACAGAGATAAAATCTGAAGGATGGGTAAGAGTTTTCTATGCATAAAATAGTACCAAGGAGAGAGAGAATAATAAATAGAGTAAATAGCATGTGCACGGGTCCCAGTAGGGGGAGAAGCATGGCTCCATCAAGAAACTAAAAAAACTCACAGTGGGTAGAGGCCCTGAGAGTTAAGGGATGCAAAGAATAAGATGAGATCAGATCAAGCAAAGGTTCTATAGATTTTATTAATAATTTTGGTCTTCTTTCTTTTGCTGAGAAAGATTCGCCCTGAACTAACATCCGCTGCCAATCTCCCTCTTTTTGTATGTGAGCTGCCACCACAGCATGGCCACTGACCAATGAGTGGTGGAGGTCAATGCACAGGAACCAAATTCGGGCTGCCGAAGTGGATTGTGCTGAACTTAACCACTAGGCCACTGGGCCTGGCCCTAATTTTGGTCTTTTTAATAGAGCAATGGGAAATCACTTAAATGTTTTAATAGAAGAGAAAGACATGATCAGACATGCACGGCTACAGTAAGGGAAAAAAATGGAGGGGAGCAAGAACGGATTTGAGATGGTTCAACATACAAAAATCAATCAATGTAATACATATTAACAGAATGAAGGAAAAAGCCCAAACGATCATCTCAGCTGATGTAGAAAAAGCATTTGACAAAATTCAATACCCTTTCATAATAAAAACATTCAAAAAACTAGAAATTGAAGGAAACTACCACAACATAATGAAAGCCATATATGAAAAACCCACAGCAAACATCATACTCAAAGTGAAAGACTGAAAGCTTTTCCTCTATGATCAGGAACAAGGCAAGGATGCCCACTTTCACCATTTCTACTCAACATAGTACTGGAAGTTCTAGCCAGAGTAATTAGGCGACAAAAAGATGGCATTTAAATTAGAAAGGAAGAAGTAAAATTATCTCTGTTTGCAGATGACATGATCTTATATGCAGAAAACCCTAAAGATTCCACAAAAAAACTATATGAGAAAATGAATTCAGCAAAGTTGCAGGATATAAATTCAACACACAAAAATCAGTTGCATTTCTATACGCTAAGAATGAACAATCTGAAAAGAAAATTATAAAAACAATTCCATTTACAATAGCATCAAAAAGAACAAAATAATAGACTGGATAAAATATTTGTATTATATAAAAATGGACAAAGGACTAAGATCCATAATATATAAAGAGCTTCAGTAAATTAGTAAGGAAAATACAAATACCTCCAAGGAAAAATAGGCAAAGAACTCACACACATAAATTCACAGAAAAATTAATAAAATGTCCAATAAATAAAAATATAATAAATATCACTCATGACAAAATTAAAATTAAAAGAATGAGATATTCCTTTTCTATTGTACATGCAAAGATTCTTTTGGGGAAAAAAATCCTGATATTATCCAATAGTGGTGAGGATATAGAGTAAACAGGAACTTCCTCTCATACCCTCTTGGTGGTAGTATAATTTAGATTAATTGAACAATATTTAAAAAAATTTTAAGTGTTCATTCCCTTTGACTCAGCACTTAATTTTAATTTATCCTACAAAAAGCATCCACATGTGCAGAGATGTATACAAGAATTATCTCTATACAGTTTGTAATAGCCAAAAGTTGTAAACAACCCAAATATATATCAGTAGAGAAATGGTTAAACTGCAGTATAGCTATAAAATGCAACGTTGTTCAGTCTGTAAAAAGAATAAGATAGTTTACTAACTGACATGCAAAAGTAAAGTAAAATAGTCAAGTTGGAGGATGAGAGTTGGATGGAAATAGGGCCTTTTTCTTTCTCTTTTTAATTTATATATATATTTTTTAGGTGTTAGACTGGGATATTTTAACTTTGGGTAGAGCTTTTTCTGTTAAAAAAAAAAAAACAGAAAAAAGAACATTAGTTGGTGTTACAGGTTGAACTGTGTTTCCCCCAAATTTAGATGTTGAAGTCTTAACCCCCAATACTTCAGAATGTGATCTCATTTGGAGATAAGGTCTTTACAGAGGTAATCAAGTTAAAATAGGTCAGTAGGGCGGGCTCCTAAACCAGTAAGACTGATGACCTTATAAAAGGGGAAATTTGGACACAGCACACATACAGGGAGAATACCATGTGAACATAAAGATGGCTATCTACAAGTGAGGGAAAGAGATATGGAACAGATCCTTCCTTCACAGCACTCAGAAGGAACCAACCCTGTCACCAACTTGATCTCACACTTCTAGCCTCTGGAATTGTTATACAATATATTTCTCTTGTTTAAAGCACCCAGTTAGTGGTAGTTTTTGTTACAGCAGCCCTAGCAAACTAATGCAGTTGGAAACTTTCAGAAGTAGAGGACTTGCACTTTGGGAAAACAACCTCAACTAAGAATGAAAAAAAAAATAAAAACCAAAACTGATTTTTTAAGGCCGTATATGAAAAACCCACAGCAAACATCATACTCAGTGGGGTAAAACTGGAATCCAGCCCTGTGAGAAAAGGAACAAGACAAGGATGCCCACTCTCACCATTCTTATTCTTATTCTGGAGGTTTTGGCTAGAGCAATTAGGCAAGAAAAAGAAATAAAAGGAATCCATATAGGCAATGAAGAAGTGAAACTCTCATTGTTTGCAGATGACATGATTTTATATATAGAAAACCATAAAGATCCCATCAGAAAACTATTAGAAATAATCAACACCTACAGCAAAGTTGTAGGGTACAAAGTCAATTTACAAAACTCAGTGGCATTCCTATACTCCAATAACGAACTAACAGAAAGAGAACTCAAGAATACAATCTCATTTACAATCACAACAAAAAGAATAAAATATCTAGGAATAAATTTACCAAGGAGGTGAAAGACCTATATAAGGAAAACTATAAGACATTATGGAAAGAAACAGGTGAGGACATAAAGAAATGGAAAGAGATTTCATGCACATGGATTGGAAGGA